TATCACTGAATATTATATTTATCAAAATATTCTGTTCGTATGCTTCGAAATGGGAAATCATTATCAGAAATGAATATGATGAAAAAATAAGTCGTTGTATGCTTTTACAGTGGACCTTTTACAACGACTTATTTTTATAGAAATCATTATCAGAAATGAATATGCTAATTAATGAATGATTGAAAATAATAATGCATCTTTAAAAAAAAATTAAGAATATAAATAATATAATGAGCAAACGTGTGGAATATCCACCATCGTCTCTATCCATTAGTGCAAGTGTTAAAGACAGTAAAAATGACCAAAATTAATAAAATCTCAAAGGGTATATCAATTCTGCAGATCCTTATACTCACTTCAGATTCCGTTCGTTTGAGAAAACAATAGCCCATGTGGATGAAAGAATGACACGATTCAACCAGAATGAAGAAATTGATACTATATATGCATGTAGTAAATGGTGAAAATTAGACTTTTAATTTTGTTGTTATTTGGGTATTGGATGTTAGTGAATGTTGTCGTTTCTATTATCGTTTTGCTCTAATGTATTTGATTTTTATATGTAGAGTTGTATAAAGAAGTGTTTTATTGTAACCTTTTGTTTTATTATTATTAATTTTTGTTGTTGTCTTATTTCTGAATTTTCATGTGTATATTGAGGAAAAAGAACAAAATATCTATTAGTGAAATGTCTATGTGCAATCAATGGTAGAATTGGTAAACTTTGTGGAATACATTACTAGAATCGGTAAATTTTACAGAATACAACTCTAGAGATGATAACCTTTGCGTAATACAATCCGAATTTGCATATAAGAACTCTAAATCAGACCTTAACCAACCAAAAGCATAAAATGAACAAAAGAAACCAGTAAAATGCAAACCTTAATACATTAAAATAATTCAACAATAATCCCATAAAGCAGCAATAAAATCAATGTTTTGAAAATTGGTCTGATCATCAACCCGAAAAAAAGTTAAAGGGTCAAGGTTCAAACGGTCGAAATCGAGGTTGAGCATAGATTGGCCCAGAATTAAAATAATAAATAGATTTATATATTATATTAATAATTTTATTAATCAAAGTAACATTTTAAAACCCATTATTTACCATATATTACTTATGAACTCCAACAGCAAGTAGATAAATCAAATGGGCCAAAATAAATTTATAGTCTATATACCCAAAATCCAAACCCTAATATAGAATGAGAAGTGCTATGTGTACACAATAGTTTAAACAATTTTTTACACCCCCTTATATGGAGAGGGGCCCACATACAATAAAATATTTGTGGGCTCCTCTCTATGTGAAGGGGGTGTAAAAGATTGCGTACACCACAAGGTGTACACATAGAATAATCCATATAGAATATGCATTGCAGAGGCAAAAGTTCAACAATCATTAATATTTTGTCGCCTATTATTTTCTCTATCGGTCTTGTCTCTCATACAAAATGTATGTATTTGTTTAAGATTGTTTTAGATTTGAAATTTGGATCTTTTGATTAAAAATATGTGCAAGGATTTCACCAAAAAGATACTGGAGCTCCGATGACTATTAGACAAACAAGAGCGGGAATGAAGCGTCCTTCTTCTTCATTTTATACTAATTTTTGTTTTTTTTTTTAACGAAATATCAACTGTGAAACCCATAAAAATTGTGACTGGTTCACCGATTTTTTATTGAATCGGACGGTACATGAAATTTGCGCCGATTTTTGAACATTCAGTTTTTACACTATAATCGAATTGGACTTTAATTCGATTCTTGAGTTTTCTTATTGAATCGTCCGTTCGACTCGATTATAAAAATATCGAATAGAACAGACCTTACACAAGCATATCACAAAATAAAACATTGAATGCCGACTTTAATCTAACATCAAACAACATTCACACCAGCAAAGTACTTATTGATTTTGACTATTTTAATGTTTAAATTAATTGATAGACGATAGGGGTATTTCACAATGCTTGGATGATTTAGTGAGTTTTTACACCAAAATAAAATGTTAGAGAGGTATTCAACGTTATGTATTATTGTGCCAATTACCCTTCATTTTACAAAGTTTAATTTTTTTCAACTTTGGCTGCTCGCTAGTATTTAAAGATTTGAAGTTAAAACATATTTTGATGAGGACAACGTGAATTGAGAACATAATACGTAACTATAAAACAATGATTATGAATCTTGCCTTTTTTTCTTTTGAAGGTCGAGGATTAACTCGCCACTGAAGCAATAAATTGGGGAGCAATGATGCAATAAATAAACAAATACCCCCGGATAATAGGAAAAATTATATTTCCACCACAATTTTTATTTCTTGCACCCCATTTTAATTGTATTTAAGATTTTTATCTTTACTCATTATATCATTTATGTCATGTCATTATTATTCTCAAGCTTTTCATTAGTTAACACATTTTTGTATATAACAGTTTTATGTCTAAAAGTATATTGAAATGACGTAAAACAATGTATTTTTCTATCGTATTTAATAAATCAATAAATAAAAAGTGAGAAAAATATTATTCCTTCATTTCAAATTATAAAAAAAATTTTTTTGATATAAATTATCATAAATATTAATTAATCAAAGGTTGAAATAAGAATTCGATGAAAAAAAATTAAGAAAATAATTGCTACAATGAGCAAAAATTGAAGAGTTTAACTGCAATTAAAATGTGGTATATCAAATAAAAATTGTGGTGACAATATAATCATCTATAGGAAAATGTTTCTTGTACACCACCATTTATAGATTTTTTACGGATTGATGATGTGGCAAAAAGAGAGCGGAGGAATTTTATTTTTTTAATTAGCTGGTGAAATTTATATTAAATCATATCTTGCTACATCATCTATTGATAAAAAAAATATGTAAGTTGTGATGTACAATCCGAGAGCATGTTTGGCTAAGCTTAAAATTCAATTATAATTGAAAATATAGTCGTTATTGCGTCTCAATCGTCTAATAAAAGTCAACAATAACGACTAATTTTTCAATTTTAATTCTATTTTAATCTCTACCGAATACGCCCCGAATAAATAAGTGTTGTATTCCATTTCTTTACTAATATAATAATATTTTTCTTTTTGCTCGAAAATTATAATATAGCACACAAATTAAAAGGCCGACGATTTGGAGCTTTCCAACGCCTTGCATTTCAAGTGACACCTAACGCACAGTATTTATACCCACGCCCCTAAGCCCGGTACCCACCACCATCACTCCGCCACCATCCTCCTCCTCCTCCTCCTTTCTCTTTCTAAAACACGCACAGATAATAAAATGAACTATATTTTCAAGCACAGATCTTAGTTTCTTATAATTAACATTATTGCAATAATAGAATCACAATCTTATACTCCAGCTGCATTGCTAGTCATACTGAGCGGTAAGAGGAATTGTTTACTTACATACACACTTGTGCGTATCTTTGATCTTTCTGTTGCTTTGATTTTTTATTTGATAATGGCGTCTCGAGAGATTGAAACTTCACTGACTTTTGCTTTCATATTGCTCAGCGTTCTGCTAATTTTTTTTGTTTAAATCTATTTTTCAGTATATTTTTCGCGGGTTTGATTGGTAGAGTCAATTTTATTTAATCATTTTTCTTTTTCAATTTTGCCTGAAATTCACAGTTGTGCCTCATTGCTTCAGAGGTCTTGTTAATCAAGTTTTACTTTGGTCAAAAACTACAATAGTTTTCTCCTTATTCCCGTTGATGATCAATTCATTTTTCCTTTGATTTCAATTTTTTTTTTAAGGATTTTTTTGAGAATGTAATGCAGTTCTTTTATTCTTAATATACGAATCTAATTTTCAAGAGATATGATTGAATTTACAATTTATTGCTATATTAGTTTTTCTCTGTAGTTTTTGGTGTGTTGAACGAGTATGTATATCTGTAAGGAGAAAATATTTTGTTCACAAGCGTTTAGGTTCACATATTGAGATTGATGCTTTCTCTGGGTTCCAATTTCGTGAATGATGGCCTGATTTATTATACACTTCTTTGAGCATGATTTGAATTTTGAAGTGTTTATTTATTTTATCCTTGACTATGGGCAGTGTGAATCTAGGCCCAATTTTAAGCATTGTATGTAGTAAGTATTTCTTTTAGATTGATCTTTTAGAATCTTATTGTGAATATAAGAGTGTCATGTTCATAGTACAATTTACCATTGTTTTTGGTGACTTATCCTTTTCTTTATCCCCATCGTCCTATTTTTTATCATCTTCAGTAATTGCACACCTTAAATATCTGAATCATATTTTTAATATAGGATCGTTATAGAGAATTTGACAATAATATCTAGCCTCCAGTTATTTGCACTCAATTTAATATTTTGATCCTCTCGTGCACTTCTTGAGTCCAAACTTCTTTTCTTCTTTCTGTCTTGTTTTTTTTTTCCCCTCAATTTACACCTTAAAAGGATTTTCTTTTCCTCAGTCTGCACTTGATAGTTTCAACTTTTTTCCAGTTTTTCTCCCTTTATTTTTATATGTTTGAATTACTGCACACCGTAAAAGTGATTATGTGAGTGCATGTCGTAGTCTGGATGCTGAAATAGGGAATATCAGAGTGCCTATTGCTTTGGTGGCCCGATCCTGTGTTTATGGCTGGGTAGATAATCAATTTCCTACTACCTGCATCTTCCACCTGATTGGTAATTTTCATATTTTTAGAATAATGTTTCAATCGTTTTCTAAAAACATCTGAAGACCGCGTTGTAAGTCTTCCGTATTTTTACACAAAGAGTAGACTGGCAACATGATGCTTCTAAATTTTGACTGGCTTTGTAATATGAATTCCAATCGAAGCATTCTAAAATAAATTCATAATGTGGATCACGTTTAGGCCTATTTTGGGTCGGTGTTTTTTAGTATTGGGATGCATTTTACATTTCTAGGACATCACCTAACTATTCAATATTACTTTTAAGTTTAGCTGACACTTCTTTACCTTTTTGTTTGGAACAACAGCCTGCAATGGATCGAAAAAGTTGGCCCTGGAAGAAAAAATCTTCATCTATTAAGGCAGTGGCTGAAAATGCTCCTGCTGCTGAGTCAGAATCTTCTACTGCCCTTTCAGATGCAGGGACAACTCAGGCTGACCAGGTTTGTTGGTATCGGTGGAAAGTTCCCGTGTTTGAGAATATATATCACTTACTCTATCACTCTCTCAAATACATCTCTCTTATGGCTTTTTACATACTTTTTGTGTTTCATTTTCTTACAGACTAAACAGGATAGCAATAAAAAACCAAAGTATTTTCAAATTTCAATGGAGTCTTATACACATCTAACTGGGTTGGAAGATGAAGTGAAGTCCTACCAAGAGCAAATGAAAACTCTTGAAGAAGAAGTAATGGAGTTGAATGAAAAACTGTCGGCAGCCCATGTGGAAATGACTAATAAAGAAAACCTGGTGAAACAACATTCCAAAGTTGCTGAAGAAGCCGTCTCAGGTTTGACACTGGTCTGACTCTTGTACATTTGCAGAAAGCTAGTCATAGAGTATTGTAACAGACAGTTTTCCTTCTTAAGTATAAGATGGATGGGACTTGACTCCTAAAAACTATTTGCACAGGTTGGGAAAAGGCCGAGGCAGAAGCTTTAGCTTTGAAAAATAATTTGGAATCTGTCACACTGTTAAAGCTCACAGCAGAAGACCGGGCATCGCATTTGGACGGTGCTCTCAAGGAGTGCATGAGGCAGATACGAAGTTTGAAGGAAGAACATGAAGAAAATTTACGCGAGGTTGTTCTTAATAAAACAAAACAATTTGACAAGATGAAGCTCCATCTTGAAGCAAATATATCTAATTTGGAGCAAGAATTGCTCAGGTCTGCTGCTGAAAATGCTGCACTTTCAAGGTCTTTGCAAGAGCGCTCTAACATGCTGATCAAGCTAAGTGAAGAAAACTCACAAGCTGAGGCAGAGATAGAACTTCTGAAGAGCAATATTGAATCCCGTGACAAGGAAATAAATTCACTCAAATATGAACTTCATATTGCTTCGAAAGAGCTTGAAATTCGCAATGAGGAGAAGAACATGTGTGTGCGGTCTGCAGAAGTAGCTAACAAGCAGCACCAGGAAGGAGTAAAAAAGATTGCTAAACTTGAAGCAGAGTGTCAGAGGTTGCGGGGTCTGGTTAGGAAAAAGTTGCCTGGTCCTGCTGCGTTGGCCCAAATGAAACTTGAAGTTGAAACTTTGGGGCTGGATTATGGAGGCTCACGTCTGAGGAGGTCTTCGGTGAAGCCTCCTACTTCACACTTGAGCCAATTACCTGAATTTTCACTTGATAGTACGCGCAAGTACCAGAAAGAAAATGAGTTACTTAATGAACATCTATTGGCCATGGAAGAAGAAACAAAGATGTTGAAAGAAGCATTGGCAAAGCGCAATGGTGAACTGCTGGCCTCCAGGAGTATGTATGCGGATGCGGCCCATATGTATGCTGATGCGGTCCATAACCTTCAGAATCTAGAAGTACAACTGCATGCCAATGGTAAACATAAAAGTCCTCCAAAATCCAGTGCTCATGTCCCTATTGAAGGTTGGTATAGTCAAAATGTAAGTAAACCGTCAAGCTTGACCTCCATGTATGAAGGTGGAAATGATGATGATGCAAGTGTTGCTGGGTCATGCGCTACAGTGTTGATGCCTGAGCACTCTCATTTGAAGAAGGAAAAGAATGTTGATAGTACACTCAAGTCTGAAAGTGTGAATCACCTGGACCTTATGGATGATTTTCTGGAGATGGAGAAGATAGCATATTCATCCAATGATTCAAATGCGGCAGTATCCAGTTCAGATTTATCTGGTAATACACGAGATGCAATATCTGAAATTGCAAACTATGACACCTCAATAGAAGCCACAGCCAGAATGGGTTTGCAATCGAAGGAGAATCTTGAATCGGAAACACCAGTTTCTTATAATGAAGTGATAGCACCAATTCCTCATGTGCATGTAGAACCGCTAACCTTTTCGAAGCTTCAATCAAGAATTTCTATGGTTCTTGAGGGGGTGTCCAAGGAGAAGGACATGGAAGTGGTTTTGGAGGACATTAAACGTCTTGTACAGGACATGCATGATACTCTGCATCCCAAGTCATCAAATCATGTTGGTGAGGCAGCATATTGTTCGGACACTGCATGTGACCATAAGACTGGTGCTGAGGTGACGGAGGAAGAGAATATATCTTCTTCTGGAGATAGTAATCTCAACACTGAGACTCTGCACATCATTACCCAAGCAGTAGCCATTTCTAAGATTTACGACTTTGTAATAATTCTTAGTGAAGAGGCTAAGGCCATCCAGGTAACATCTTGTGATGGAGGACTGAATGATCAAATGGCCATGTTCTCTGCCAAATACAATGGGGTTACTAACTGTAGGACAAATCTCTCGGATTTCGTTCTTGACCTTTCTCTCGTATTAGGCAAAGCAAGTGAGCTCCAGTTCAATGTCCTGGGATATAAAAATTCTGAAGTGGAAAATAGTACTTCTGATTGTATAGACAAGATTGCTTTACCAGAGAATAAGGGTACTTTAGACTCGTCAGCTGAGAGATATTCAAACCGTTGCAACCAATTTTCCGATTCCACATCTGAGCCTGACATTCCACATGATGCGAATCTTGTTCCAACATCTGAATTGACAACCTCTTCATGGAAATGCTTGTTGGAGGAGTTTGAACAATTGAAATTGGAGAAGGATAATATGGAAATTGACCTGGTTAGATGTTCTGAAAACATGGAAAACACCAAGTCGCAGTTACTGGAAACAGAACAGCTTCTTTCAGAAGTTAAGTCACAATTAACATCATCTCAAAAGTTGAACAGCTTGGCTGAGACACAGCTCAAATGCATGGCAGAGTCTTACAGATCACTTGAAGCACGGGCAGAGGAGTTACAAACTGAAGTGAACCTCCTACAGGGGAAAATAGAATCTCTGGATAATGAGCTGCAAGAGGAGAGAAGAAATCATCAATATGCGCTGTCCAGATGTAAAGATCTTCAAGAACACCTGCAAAGGTTAGTAACAATCATATTAAGCTCGTGTAGACTCCAGCACTGGCCATAGTTTTTGAAGTTGCTCAACAAGCCTTACTTTCAAAGCCCCAACTATATGGTCAAAAAGGATTTTGTTATACCTTGTCAAGATCTAGCAAACATGCAGTTAGGTTGTTTATATATACCTGAAAACTGAAGCCTAAAAACTGATAAATCAATATTGTTCTGAATCTAGTTTTCAACTAAATACAAACAAAAAAAGAAACTGGTGATTCCCAAATCTAGACCTCTGACTTGTTTTGTTCTTCAACTACAAATCTAACAAATGTATACAATTTGCATCTTCATTTGTATTATCAACTTTTGGCATGGCCATTTTCTATTCCATTCTTAGTTTGGTGGTGAAATGCTTTCTCATAATGGTAACTACACGGTGAGAGTGCAAAGTTGTATTCTGACAATTCATGAGATCTCTGGTCAATGCAACACTAATTTATCTAAGGAAAAAAGTTATTATTTATATTTTTCTACGCTTTCTCATAATGGTAACTACATGGCGTGAGTGCAAAGTTGTATTCTGGCAATTCATGAGATCTCTGGTCAATGAAACACTAATTAATCCAAGGATAAAAGTTATCATTATTTTTTTCTACCTACTTTTCTTCAAGCTGCACACTCTATCTGTATAATGGTATTTCTCGACTTTCAGTACTTATATATATAGCATGTTTGTGTCAAATGTTTGGGATGGCCACTTCTTATCTATCTGCAGTTGGCGAGGCTTAACTTGGGTGATGCCTTGTAGCAGTTGATCAGGTTTTGGCATACTTTAATTTAATTTATTGTGTCTTAAGCTGTTTTAACTGTAATTGGTCCCAGGTCTTTGTAACCATTGTCTAATGCGTTATTAAATATTGACATGACTTCATGACGCAACTCAATTAAATTTTATTTCTAGTCTTTTCACACGCATTTTTGTATTTTTCATTTCAGGATTGACAGTTATTCAGCAGCTGGGAATGATGCCAATACCAACCAGGTGAAACTTGTAAACTATGTTGCATTCTCAGTATTGACTATTTTGCATTCACCTCATCTCTACCATACAAACTTATAATAGGCATAAATTGCCTAGAAAATTTCAGTTCAACCTGCATTTTAACACTTGGCTATATTTTAATTCTCTCTCTTTTAAATACATTAATTGAATTTTATTACTATTCTTGCTCTTAATAATGCGAAATTGTATAGAGATAGAAAACCTAGTCTGTCTAGATATTCGAGAATCACAGTTTGATCCGATTTCTCCATTTTGGCAAATTTTCTCCTTCTTAGCTCTTGGTGGAAGTTATTCAAACTCTCATTGCATGACAAGTACCTGGATGCAAGTGTTATTTTCCGCTGTGTTTCTTAGCCTAGTAACTGTTCCTGTTTGAACTTTTTAAGTGCAGCTGTTAATTTTGAAGGATCTTTTGACTAATCAGAGCAAGCTTAATAATTACGAGTTTGTATGTCAGCGACGAATTAGGGTTATTAGCATGGTTTAGTCTTATCTTAAATTTCAAAATAGGAATGCGACTTATCTTGGAATTCAAATTGCAGGCTGTGAACCTTAGAAGTTTTTTAGGTTAATTAACTTGCTTTAGTCTTACCTTCTACTTTTGCAATTTTTGGCCGTTGCCATCTTTCGGTGATTCTGTAACCCTGAAGTGGCTATAATGTTTTTCTCTTTTGTTGTTTTCTGCATATAAAATAAGTGGTAGTTGGTGGTTTAAATCCTTGTGCTCCATTAAGGATGGGTGGTGGAAAATGAGTTGATCCTATAAGTCCTTTTGCCAAGGTTGTGATGGTATCTGCTATGGCAGGCATATATAAATGGAGCATAAAACTAGTGGAAGTTGGAAATAATAGTGCAATCTTATACACGGAAGAAAAATGGGAGATCCACGGTACCATGTCTTTTTTAGATAATTGTTCAAAGTTGAGAAATTTCTGTATTAAAAAACAAACATGAGTGTACTTCGAGTGCAAAAATCTGATCATTTTGAGTCAGTAACATCTTGCATAAACTACTAAGATGAGGAGTGTTGCGCATGATGATGTTGGCGCACAAGTAGCCAGTGCATGGGCAGAAGACGTGTTTTGTACCGATGGCACAGATGTCACACATGGGTAACTTTAGCATTTTTCTTCGAATATTTACCATACAACTAAAGAACCAATTGTGTGAGCTTGATTCCAAATAAAGAGAGAGGATATGAAACAAAATTTGAAAAAAAAAAAAATTGCTTTTGTTTCATACTTTGATTTGTACAGAAAGAAAAGTCTGTTCTTGGTCTTCCTATATTACATTAATCTCATTATTTGTTGTCATTATCAGCGTTAAGCTTCAGGGAACACAAACTTGCAGAACTGAAGAATTCTTTTCTTTCAGGAGGAGTTGGCGGCTGCAGCAGAGAAGTTAGAAGAGTGTCAAGAGACCATATTTCTTCTCGGCAAGCAGTTGAAAGCTTTACGTCCTCAGAAAGAGGCTACAGATTCACCACGTGAATGGAAGACTCAGAAGGGCGAAGATTTCACTGACGAAGAACCAACTATAAGTGGCATGAATTTACAGGATATTGATCCAAACGAGGACACTGCCAATTCTATCAATTTGCAGAGAGTAGGATCGAATTCTTCCCTGGATTCATACAATGCCCCATTGAATCCTTCTGATTCTGAAGTCAACAATCTATTGAGATCACCCGTCAGTTCAAATCATCCAAATCACCGGCCTACTCAGTCGGTATCCTCTTCCTTGTCATCTACTCCGGCACCAGAGAAACATTCCCGTGGCTTTAGCAGATTTTTTTCCTCCAAAGGAAAGAACGACCACTAGCGGCAGCATTTTAATTCTATATACCAGTTAAAAGAGTCAACCTGAAGCAGAAATTGATTGCACTTCTGTAAATAATGATCAAGATCCATTCCAATCTGCCATGCACATAATTTTGAGAAGGGATTCCAAAGTAATGATCTGGCTAACATATGATGGATTAATTTTGCTTGAGAGTGAATCAGCCTGCAGCAATATAGATTTGGGAATCTGTTGCCTACTAGGTCTCGAAGCTTGTTCGATCCATAGTTCTAAACAGGATTGAACACTACAATACACAAGATTTAAGCATACCTTCTTTATGGTATACTGTCCAATCCTTTACAGTGTGTCCTACCAAACGAGCCATGATTTGTTTGAGTTAGAATTCATGTTCTCATAAGGTTCAGTTCACAAGTGGCTTAACATTTAGCCCACTCCAAATTGGTCCGAAGTGATTAGTATAAAATGTAAGATAATTTTTGTGTGACATGATCATTTTTACCCACCTGAAATTGTTTGTCTGCTCAGAACTTCAGATGAACACGCAGTTGCTGTATTTTCTCATGTTACATAAAAATTATTATGCTGTACATATGCTATTTTATAAGTCATCGATGGATTTTCTTTTATCACTGAATCCTGAATCTCTCTTTAACTGTTGGTTCTTCAGAATAATCCCAAATAGATGACAATAAACAATATTGAGAATCAAACAATTAGAAATTTAACTCTTTTTAGATCGATTTTTTTAGTCATTGTGGCCATTTGTGCTGACAGAGTTGTGTAGGCATCAATCTCTTGAAGATCATATGCTTTCTTGTTTACAACCCTTCCTGCATATGGAAATAGGAAACTAGTATAAGACATTCTTTCTAGGAGTTCGATTGTTTCATTACAGTCTTGATTGTCACTGACTTATATGCAGCACTATCGATAATAATCCGACTCGTTGGAGTCAATCCACCATAGAAGTGTTCGCTTGTTCCCACCTTCGCAAGCAATCCAATGAATGTTTCCCAAACTTCATATAATGTTTTCTCTTCATGCTATGAAAAACTGGTAATGCCCTGCAGTAACTTGGCTGGTGGATGGTATTTTGTTAGAAATTTTCGTGCCAACTCATCCCAAGTTGTGATGCTTTTGGCTGGGAATGACGATAACTAGTCACGTACTTGTCACGGGATTAGTTTTGTTACACTCGAACAACTAGAAACCGTTCGCCCTTAACGTTCACAATTTCCGTCCCTCACGAAAAAAATATTAAGTCAGTCTTTCAACACTTACAAATAATTAAAATATGGAAAACAAGTAAGATTGAGGAAAACTCTCTTTGTATATAAATAACTTTACTCTCATGAATATTTTTACAAATGAGAATACATCTCTATAGGCAAAAACCTTGCAAGTTACCTTGGAATCAATGGTCAAGATTAATCTTCATCCAAAGATTCTAATTGGATGCAAGTTGCATTAACCTCCTTTGACCATAAGGAAACAAAGTTGGAATTTGCTTCATTGCAAGTTGCATGTCTCTACAATTCACATGCAAGTAGACATGTCCATTTCATAGTGGCCAAATTGGTCTTTGCTTCTTCCTTGACATTATCTTGCAAGTGGTACAGTGGGCAAGTTGGACAAGTTGCATCCCCAAAAATATCCAACTGCAGTCCATTCTATTTCTCTTGCTGGAATGACAATATTCTGCCTTAGAAAACCACATTGTAGTGCTGGGAAAACTGCCCATGCTTGTAGCATGTAGCCTGTGTCTTGCTATGCTGCTTGCGTCCTGTCCTGACTGTAGTCTGTGTCCTGCCATGCCCCGACTGCGTCCTGTGTGCCGTCTGCAGTCTACCTGCGATGTTTGCCTGCATTGCTGTTGTGTCGCAGTGCCTGCATGCACACACAACATTTCCTAGCCGCAACCTGGACATGTCGCTGCGACCATGGAAATCAATCATCTTCCCACCAAATTAGGCGACGCCCTTATCGCCATGTACCTTGAAGTTTAGACCGAATTAACCATAGGTCTACTTTATTTTCCCGCTTAGTGCCATGATATTCCCGTGTCATGCTAAATCTCAAGTCATTACCTTGCGATCCGTAACATACTGCTCCCTTCTAGTGTGCACGGAAAGTCCTATTTTTACAATATCGTCTGACACTTCGTCCAAAACTTCGAAAAATGAGCATGAAATGCACATGTTCCTCAAATTCATATAACATCCAACCTAAGCTGAAAACTCTGTTGGAATTGATTAAATTTAATTGGGTTAAATGCATTTAATGATGTGGGCCATTGCAATTAATTTGGGTGAATTGGAAAAGTCTCCAATATAGGCCCATAATTTGATAAGCCAAATTTTAAGTGTCTTATATATGGTACAATGGGAGGCTCGATGAGTTGGCATCCTAGGTGGCACACACGTAACATGTT